AATCGATTCAAAGAACTTTTAATGCAGGTAAACTGTAATTCATATCTCCCACACAACTGGTTTTGATTCCTCAACTGAAAGACGAAGTACTTAGACCAGCTATCGACCAACTGAACTGTTTCTGTGAAGCCAGTTACATTGGCTGCCGCTATAGAAAATTAAGTTTTTGTGTTCGGAGATGCCATCTAATATGGCTAAATGAAGATGTGGTGAAAACCATCGACAGTTCAATATTAGACCACCTGTTCCAGACAGACCATAAAGCTAGAAGTGACGAATCTTTCTCTATCACCTATCGGGTACCAAATAAATAGCCAAAAGCTTTGGTCGATCGGTCGGTCTTCGACATAGAACTTTGCACCGATGTGCGGCAGTTCAAGTCGCCACAATCCATGTAACACACAAAGCAAGAGAAGAAAGCAGAAGAAATGCATAATATAGTCAGTAAACAGAGGTGTGAGACAAAGGAATAGTAATAACGAAGAACAAAACAGTTTCATTGGAAATCATAAGTCACAAGGAGTGGGTGCATCTGCGACAGCCATTGAGGACGATTTTGAGCCATGTCACCAACTGTTTCCAACCATTGGTTTTTACCGTGCCGAGGACCCCAACCAGGAAGTCTACATCTTCCTACGTGGCTTAAGCTAATTGTTGTGGATTTCATAGACTGGTGCCATGTTTTGGTTTGACCGCCTCTAGCTCTTTTCCAGTCTGGCCCTATATCAGCCAACACTGCCCGTCGAGGAAGGCAATAGCCAGACTAGGCGTGCTTAACACACGTCCTAACCATCTCAATCGGTTTAACCTAATAACATCGTCGAATGACTTCACTTCCCATCTACCTAACACTCGACCGATGCGTCACCTCAATATTGCTCACCTTATTATACCACTTCACGCGGGAGATAGAACGCAGACACCTATGATCGAAGACAGCTAATCTTTTCATGTCTTCCGCTCTCAATGGCCAGGTCTCACAGCCATAAAGGAGGACGGAGCGGACTGTTGAGCAGTACACACGCCCTTTGGTCGATAGTCGGATATCGCGTCTACGCCAGAGACGGCGTAAACTGGCATATGCGAACCTAGCCCTATGTATTCGTGCTGAGATTTCGTCGGAGATCAACCCGTTGAGGCTGATGGTACTTCCCAAGTAAGTGAAGCGGTCAACGTGCTCTACCACTTCACTTCCTATTTCTAATCTAGGGGTCGGTGAAGTCCAATCCTGCAGCACCACCTTACATTTTACAGGGGCGAATCGCATGCCAAACATACGAAGATTGTTGCTCAAGGTGTTCAGTAGACTCTGCATTTTGTCAGCGTCCTCGCCTAGAAGGACTATATCGTCCGCATATTCTAAGTCGACGAGATTATTCCCTGGTAGCTTTGAGGTACTGAATACTCCATAGAGCAGAGGCCATTGTAACGAGCTTGAAACAGACAGTGCTCTGTACAGAAGAAACAGTTTCAACCAATACTGACATCCTGACCTGCTGTAGAATCTATACATTCATAAGTACTGTATCAGGACATACGCTTTAGGGAATGACCTTACATTCTCTATGTATCAATTTCCCCCATGTTTTATTGCTAGAACTTGTGTGAACAAACCTTTTGTTTCCCGAATTTATCCTCAGTAGTACACCTACACACTAGCATACACCTACCCTTCTGCCTCATTTTCTCTCCCTATTTTTGAGAGTACTATTCATCCATATCAAGTTTACAATCAATACGAATAGAATTCAATATGAACACTAGTCATGAGTACTTATTACTCATATACTCGTTGTTATTAATAATCGTTTACTTTCCATATCTGATAAGTTTATTTCATATATCCCACAGTGATGATCCAGTATTATTAACAACTGGATGACAAGGTTTTGAGCATAAATTATTGCCACTCATAATCATATCAATTTAATAACACGGCTACACAATTTGTCTACATATATACATTTCCTCTCTTCTCCTCTCCCTCTTCCCCTTGTTGACAACTTTCCATATAATTTAATAATTCCCATTGTAGCATTAAGAACACACTATTCACCGAAGAGACTCTTTTCAACAACGAATTTATTATCAAGCTGTACAGTCGCTTTCCACACGGATACGAGAACAAATATTCCAGCAGCATGGTTTTACAAGGGAGCAAGGAAGTATGTGAGAAGCTCTATTCTAGAACACCTGATCGTCTCCTATCACTCTACCAACCCTGACCATGATTTTAAGATTATCTACCGAATCCATGCTAACTTGCCGGCCGCGTTTTCTTCGTTATTATTATTGTTCCCTTGGGTTCCTAGTGGAACATAGGGCTTCAACTACACGTCTCCACTTGCTTCTGTCCTCTGCTGTACTTTTCACTTGCATCCATGTTAGTCCATACTGTTTCAACTCCTCTTCACACGATCTCCTCCATGTCACCCAAGCACTGAAGTCCCATTCGCCGCTTCCCTTTCGGGTTCCACTCGAGCGTTGGCCTGACGCGCGATGTCACCCAGCGAGTGGCCTCCTCAGCGAGTGTCCAATCCATCTCCACTTTCTCCTGCATATTTGTTGGGCGACTAACTCTTGTTTTGTTTGTTCCCATAGTTTCTTGTTGGTGATTCTTTACGGCCATCTGATCTTGAGTGTAGAATGAAGACAGCTGTTGATAAAGGTCTGCAACAGGCTGTTGGAAATATTCTTTGTGACCCGTCAAGTTTCTGATCCGTATAGAAGAACTGACTGACTTGATGTTTGTATTGAAAATCCGAATTTTGTTGTTGATGCTGAGTGACAGCGGAAGACTTCCAGATTGGTTTCAGGTTGATGAATGTGTTTCTCGTTTTCTTCGTTACAGAGTTCTAAAGACAGCGGAGGCCTTGGCCATTCATGACTTTAAGCCAGACCTTTGTGTACAAAAGAAGTATGTACAATCCCTACTGCTGTCTTGGCCGTAGAGGGACAGACATTTATTTATTTATGTGTTTTGTTTATTTAGTTATTCTATGTACCTTTCCCTCGTTACTACGATTATTATTATTACTATTCTCACTCTGAATTGTTTCCACTTGTCGTTCTAAATTCAAAAAAGTTTTTTTTTACAATATTGAATTCTATCTTATCAAATTTCACACCATATTATGTAACATTTTATACTCGCCTACTAATCCCATAATTATGTACCCCTTTCCAACAATATCTATACACCTTATGTGTATTATTCTATATATGACATTAATTGTTTTGCCACTTGACATTTAAGTATGATTATAACCACAAACATTTTAGTTTTAATTGCATTTCATACTACTATTATTATTATTATTATTTCATGTATTCACACCTTTGACCTAATTCCCTCACCGGATATAATTTCTTTAAAACACCATAAATATACACGATTGTACAGCTTGATAATAAATTCGTTGTTGAAAAGAGTCTCTTCGCTGAGTATTGTGTTCTTAACTTTCCATATCTCCCGTGAAGGCGTTGCATCATTCCAATGACACGTGTGTGGTATTGAATCGATAGACAAAGCTTCAGTGATTACCCCTCTCTTCACCTAACTATTATTATTATTCTTTCCTTTAATTCCTAGAGGAACATAGGGCTTCAGCCGTGCGTCTCCATTGCGTTCAGTCCTCTGCTAGAGTCTTCACCTGGACCCAAGTCTACCCACACGTTTTCATGTCCTCTTCACATGACCTACTCCAAGTCACCCTTGCACTGACGACCAACTCGCCGCTTCCCTTTCGGGTTCCACTCGAGCAATGGCTTGTCTAGTGATGTCACTTGATGTTTTGTTTCCTCAGAGTATGGCCAATCCACCTCCATTTCTTACTGCTTATCTGTTGCACAATCGGTTCCTGGTTGCTTGGCTCCTTGCCAGAGATCCCTGTTGCTGATCTTCTCTGACCGGCTGGCTATCTGATCTTGAGTAGTATTGAGCGAAGACAACTGTTAATGAAGGTCTGTAGTTTCTTTGAGATGCTCTTCATGACACGCAGTGCAAGTCTCTGATCCGTATAGTAGCACTGACTTCGCATTGCAGTTGAAAATCCGGATCTTATTTTTGATGCTGAGTATTGCTGTTGACCACCACACAGACCTGAGAGTAATGAAAGCTTGTCTTGCTCTTCCGATTCTTGCTTTGATATCCTCGTCAGTTCCGTCCGCCTGTAGTTGAGACGATGCTTCCGAGGTAGGTAAAAGAGGTTGTTTCTTTCAGGTTCCTCCCATTTATGCTGATTGTTGTTGTTGTTTCTGTTGGTGGTGTTGGCCAGGAATCTTCATCACCTCTGTTTTCTCTATATTCATCTGAAGTCTTATCTTCTCTAGATGCTTCTTTTGCCAACTTGTTGCTCTTCACTTGCATATCTTCCAGTTTGTGTGAAATCAGACATATATCATCGGCGAAGTCCAGATTCTCCAAGTTCTTTTTTGTGTGAGTCCACTTTATGCCTGTTTGCTCATTGCCCGACCACCTAACCAGATTACTTTTTAATACTCTCACCCTGACCCACACAACCTATCTTGTGATTACATGCGACGGCTGAGCCCTGCTTTTTTTCTCCAAGTTTTTTAACCTTAGAAGACTCAACCATCATTCTACGTCAACAGGTCAACCAACTTTGTTGGAAAAAAAGTAAAGCAAAGCAAAGCAAAGCAAAACAATATGTTTAGAAGATAAAAGCTTTAATAAAAGAGAGAAAAACTATTTACATTGGAATATAACTGTGAGCGCATAAAAAACACTGACAACTCAGTAGTAGTAGTATTTCTAGTGTTCTTGTGAAAAATTAAAATTAAAAAAACAGGATATTATTCTCGATCACGGAAAGGAAAGCTCAACTCAGAAATATATCTTTTATTCATCTATACACTTGGTTAGAAGAAGAAGACGAAGAAGGAGAAAGAAGTCTCCTAAAAAGTAGTCACCGTGATGATGATAATAATAATAATAATAATAGTAAGGTTAAATATCTTCTCCCCGCCTTTATCCTTTTTCACCATAATGTCCATGGAGTTAGGCGTAGTTGATAGATTGGTACCGCTGTGACATTAACAGGAAAGTCGACTACTGCTTTGGTTAAATTTAAACTATCCAAAGCACTGATTATTGTATGCCTGTGATATAAAAAGAATAGAAAAATAATAATAATAATAATAAAAAAGGAAGATTGTCTGGATGAGTTGATTTATTTTAAACTCTTTACGCGCTGAGCAACACCACCAACAGACAACAATCAGCAAAAGTGGAAGGAACCTGAAAGAAACAACCTACTTTACCTACCTACCTGGGAAGCATCGTCTCAACTACAGGCGGACGGAACTGACGAGGATATCAAAGCAAGAATCGGAAGAGCAAGACAAGCTTTCATTACTCTCAGGTCTGTGTGGTGGTCAACAGCAATACTCAGCATCAAAAATAAGATCCGGATTTTCAACTGCAATGCGAAGTCAGTGCTACTATACGGATCAGAGACTTGCACTGCGTGTCATGAAGAGCATCTCAAAGAAACTACAGACCTTCATTAACAGTTGTCTTCGCTCAATACCACTCAAGATCAGATGGCCGGCCAGAAAAGATCAGCAACAGAGAGGGATCTCTGGCAATGAGCGAACCAACGCAGCAGGAACCGATTGTGAAACAAATATGCAGGAAGAAATGGATGTAGGTGGATTGGCCATACTCTGAGGAAACAGACCATCAAGTGACATCACTAGACAAGCCATTGCTTGAGTGGAACCCGAAAGGGAAGCGGCGAGCTGGTCGTCAGTGCAAGGTTGAGTGTGACTTGGCGGATGTCATGTGAAGAGAAGATGAAAACGTGTGGGTAGACTTGGAGCCAAATGAAAACTCTAGCAGAGGACTGAACGCAGTGGAGACGCACGGCTGGAGCCCTATGTTCCTCTAGGAATTAAAGGAAACAATAATAATAATAAACTCTTTACGCGCTGAAGAATCTAGTGTGTAGTGAATAGATGTCTAATTATCGCCAATAACTCACTGATAAGAAATACAAGTCAGTTGTATCAAATCATAGAATGTCAGATCTACGGTTAAACACACATATTAACACTGAATTGTGGCTCTATGACTTAATGTGGTACACTTCATTACTGATCAAGGCACTCACTCTACTCGAAATCATGTGGCCAGGCAGGTAAGAGTTGTCATCTGAAGTGGTGACAACCAGTGATGGTGTCCATCAGGGATGCCATCTCACTATCCGCATTTCTATTCAATTTCATCATAGATGTACTAATGGACCTAACCCTATCTGTGCTAACTTCAGCGACTCAGTGATTGACTTGCTACCACCAGGGAATCATCTCGTTGACTTAGAATATGCAGATGATATAGTCCTTCCAGGTGAAGACGCTGACAAAATGCTGAGTCTTCTGAACACATTGAGCAATCTGCGAATGTCTGGTTTCCGTCAAATATAAGATGACGCTACAGGACTGGACTACATTGACTCACTCGTAGCTCAAAGATACATAGGGAGTAAAGTGGTCGAGTCACCACACTCCCTTCATGTAGCACACAAAGCAAGAGAAGAAAGTAGAAGAAATGCATAATAGAGACAGTAGACAGGGATATGAGACAAAAGGAATAGTAATAACGACGAACAATAGCTTTATTGGGTATTATAAGTCACAAGGAGTGGGTGCATCTGCACCAGCCATTGAGAGCGATCACTTTGAGCCATATCACCAATTGTCTCCAGCCTCCATTGGTTTTTACCATCCCTAGGACCCCAACCAGAAAGTCGACAACTTCTTACGTGAATGCATTAAACTAACTGTTGTGGATTTCATTGAGTGATGAAGCAGTGTTTTGGTTTGACCCTCACTGACTCTTTTCCTACCTGACCCTATGTCAGCCAACGTTGCCCGTCTAGGAAGGCGATAGCTAGACTAAGCATGTGTAACACACGTCCTAACCATCTCAGTCGGTTTAACTTAATAACATCGTCGATTGACTTCCCCTCCCACCTACCTAACACTCGACCGATGCCTCACCTCAATAATGCCTCCCCTACTATACCACTTCACACGGGAGATAGAACGCAGACAACTATGATCGAAGACGGCTAGCCACGCTTTTCATGTCTTCCACTCTCAATGGCCACATCTTGCTCACAGCCATAGAGCAGGATGGAGCGAACTGCTGAGCAGTACACACTTCCTTTGGTCGATAGCCGGTCGGGTATCACGTCTACGCCATAGTCGGCATACACTGGCACATGCGAAACGAGCCTTCTGTATCCGAGCTGAGATTTTGTCAGCGATCAAACCGCTGGCATCGGCTGATACAACTTCCCAAATAAGTGAAGTGGTCAACGCACTCAACCACTTGACTCCCCCATTTCTAAGCTAGGAAATGGAGATAGACTCAATATAATCTTAGAAAACCATTGAGTGACATCACGCGCTAGGCCCTCGAGTACAAAGTAAATAGGAAATGACTAGTTGGGCGTTCGAGGGTGATATGGTGGAAACTGTGTAAAGAGGACGCGTAAGTTTATGGATTATCGATGAGTCGGGTAAAAGAGATTGTAGAGAACAGAGTGAAACGGCGATGTGCTGCTGAATCCTTATATTCCACTCGGAACCCAAGAGAATAATAATAATGAATGCTTTCGTAGTGTGTAATTCCATTTTAGTTTGTTTATTAGATATATCACAAAGTGTAAAACAGTATTATTTCCTGGATGACGTTTCGAACACAATTAAACAAAACAATTTAGTTTATCCAATACCCTGCCTGCCCTGGTTGTCAGGTCAAATTAGTAGAACAGGGTTAGTTAGTCTAGAGGAGGACAAAATCCTAGCAGCAAAATCTAGATTAGCTGACCCGACATTAAGATAAGAAATCTGGAGAATAGATCAGCAGCTATAGCACTACATGCTATTACGCACACACACAACCATACAACAGGGGACAGTTTTAAAATCTAATGTAACAGGGTGGAAGGACATATCAGTGACGGAAGCTTTATTTATCGAATCAACTGCAAACACGTGTAATAGGATTGTTACAACACCTGCCCCAGACATCTGGAAAATTCTACAGCCCTCCTCCCACGACAAATAGGAAAGAATAAGGAAAGCTATATAACGAAAGTCTCAAAGTTGTATAGATATAATTGATGAAATGATCATGAACAATAAATAAACTGTGTTTGAAACTTTGTTATCCATCAAATAATACTGTTTCACTGATTGTGTGATATATCTAATAAACAAATTAATATAGAATAATAGATGCGTGAATTTATTGCCGAAAATCTTGTATCTAACCGAATCATTTTAAAAGGCCTCCAAAGCCTCAGGATGGTCGGGGGTGGGTGCCTTGCGCTGCGGGTTGGCCACCCCTCCGCACACCTCTTGAAATGCTCCCATATGACCGGGCGTCTTACATAGCCTCTCCTGAGGAAGTCCTACTCACTGCCTTCACGTGGCGGAGGTGTTTTTCACCAAAGTGAGAGGGCGAAAGTGGATGCCCGGCGCTCTTCATCGGGTTGACTGTCCATTGGATGACAGTCTAGGGGAGATGGCTAAACCCTGATTCAAAACCTCCAACGACTGGCGTATGAAGCTCACTGGAGCTCACCGGCAGACGTATGGACAAAGGGCTTGTTGGATGTCCTGGATGTCTGGCCCCATTCAAAAAGGTGTATGAACGGAACTCCGGTCACCGGCTGCCAATGGATAGTGGACTCCCTACTCCACTCCTACTGCCTTGTAGGTCACACTTGGTTGTGTAAAGGCTAGAGCTGCACTCTCAAACAAAAGGCCGAGTGGTTCTGGGGACATCACTCGTACCAAATTCCCATGAAACTTCGTAAACTCTCTTCATCAGATCGCTGCGCCTGGGTAGCGATGATTTGAGAAGTTCATGAAGCCGGCTCATCCTTCCGTAGGAGATAGCCGAAGCAAAGTGAGTAAGCTATTATATTTATATATTTTATTTATTTTTATATTTTGATTTACAGCTTGATTCCACACCGTATTTTCAGTACAAGTATGGAATTTTCAGCATGGATATCGGTAGCCCAAATTCAGGCCGACCATAGATATCGGGTGTGCGCCGGCAGGGGATCGAACCCCGGACCATGTGCATGGTCGGCGAGAGTCCTAACCACTGTGCCACCGACGCACTAATAATGACAATATGCACAAATACATTCATCGATGATAAGAGCTAGAGATACCATACAGAAATGTCTAGAAGAAAAGTTATGACTAACAGCGAATATTTATCACATAAGCTACAACATACACTGTGTCAAAATATTTCAACGTTAACCCAAAGTGACTAGACCAAGATCCTAGTGAAACTACTTTACGGACAACTTCCATCTATAACAGGCAAACCAGACACAATAAACACTTCAGTTTTATTACCATCTGTAGCAGTTCAAATTGCTGCACTTCGAAGAGATAATCAACATAATGAAACTAAAATGGTTGAAAGTACAGGCGAGACAGACAGAAAATTACATAACGAAAATGAGGATCCAGTGAATCTATACAATCACGGGAATTAAATCCCTATGTGCTATTAGCAGCAACTTTTTAACCATGTCATCAACGGCTACCACACAATGATTCTTAGCATTTCAGGCAGCCAAGCCAGGTAGCTTCCCACAAGACTAAAATCAATAGTCAAAGACTTTATAGATTGATTTCGTGTTTCGGTTTGAAAACCCCGAAATGTTTTTCAACCTTAGCATTACCAGATAAGATGTACTAACACATAAGGAGTAACCAAAATGTAGCCCACTGTGTTGTTAGAGGGAGTTCTAGCAATGACACCTGTTTAATAAAGTACCAGCGGTAGAATGCTCGCCGACTACGCGGTTCGATCCCCGGCCACTGACGCACTCTTTTACCTCGCTAAGCCAGTAATAAGACTGGTAAAGAGAGAAGGTTGGGCAATAGGCTAGCAGCAACCCCATCCAGTCAAAATAGACACCACTGCTACCGAAACTTCAAACCTCTAGCTTGAAGCCCTATGTTCCACAGGGAACGTAAAAGAATAAAAGAAACATAAAGTACCATGAGCTCATGATTCAAAAATTTGACTTCTGAATGAAGTATAGAGCCTCTTCCAGTTACTCTTCTAACCACTCAATGTTTACTTTACATTTGGAGGTCAGTTAATTCGCACAAACGAATTCGAAGCAGACTGAATTGAAGTAGAAAAGAGTGAAGTCAGACAATTACAGTAAATTCAACCACCTTCAACAATAGATTGCTATAACTCTTGCTAAAATGATCCCACGCTACATATTGAGATTAGCACGTCATTCATTCCGTTAACTAAATTTGCTTGAAATTTCTCTGGTTATTTGAAATAGAATAAAAACTAAACTTCAACAATGTGGCAAAATTACGTTAATTTTGGTAATCTATTTACTAGGTCATTATTTTAATCTTAGAAACCGACATTGACTAAAACACCGTTACTGAGTACTTTACTGAGAGAATCATAAAGCCTGCCAAACATAAACAACCTCAGATGTGCATGTCGAAATAAGCCTCAGGTGGATTTATGTACTTTCGAGTAGTACCTTACAATTTTATTTATTGCCAGTGACAGGCATTTTTGATGCTGAATTCTCCTATAAAATTAAGGATATTACCAAAAACTATGCACAATGTTTTAAAATAAACTATACTGTGAAACTCAATTTCCATAAATGTTGGGAGGACTGCGGACAATTCGAAAACCTCCAGGAATCCTGTGAGCACTGATGAAAAAATGCTGCCTCCCTATGTGAGCGCTGCTTTGCTGACTGACTGAAGTGTTGGTACTAGTTAGGGAAAGAATATAAACTAGTTTAGCTCAGATGAAGTTTTGGTGTGGTTGTATTGACTGTGCTGCCTGGTTTGAATGAGACGATTTCATGATATTTCTAAACATTGGCAATGCTTAATTCATGGTAAAGCTATTGCTTATACAATTTATGGTAAAAAGAGAGACTTCTAAGGATAGACTGCCGTCTTAGTACTTTGCTCATCATTTCTCCGAATCTTTCCTGCAACAAAGAATACACAACCACTAAGGGACACCTAAGCACTTATGCATGAGTACAGTGATGCAAATACAATCACATCCTCGGAATAGAAATAAAAAATGTCTGTAGGAGGAACTTCACACTACTACGTAAATAGAAAACATTTGCAGTAAGTGAATGCACAAGAATAGATCAAATATTTAAAAATAGCCTTTAAATTAAGCTGCAGGTGCGTAGACACAACTTACCCATCTTTCCCATTCATAAATGCACAGGGTATTTGAACACGTCTGGACGTATCATCCTGGATCATACTGAATGTCTGAACTGCTTTTCGATTGAAATCATAGACAATTACAGCAACTGCACCAGCTACATGGGCATTAATGGCTTTAGTTACAAAACTACATCCACTAGTTACAGTGAAAAAGTAAATATGCCAACATACCCGCGGATTATAAGAGCAATATTACGGCTGACTTCACGGGTATTTGTTATTAGCTCACAAGCATGAGGAGGATCAGTTACTACCAAGGAAGTTGATGTGAAAGTAGTATTCTTAAGTAAAAGCTAATTAATACAAAAACCAAATACATACGAAATGTGGTCCGATCTGACCAGGACTTAAGCGGTATAAGAATGGTAATGTGGACGGATCAATAACACGAAGATGCAAGTAATCTTGATCACCTATATCATTTGTTAGTGCACAAATTAGACCAAACCATTAGCGAAATTAATCAGGAATATAAAAAACCCGAGAATTGGTAACATGCATGAATCAAGGTTGAATAGGCCGCTTTGGTAGGTCACGGCACTTCAAGTAAACTTCGAGGTCAAGTTCAGTCCACATGGTCTCAAGGCCATGTGTAACAGCTAGACTGATTCCCCCACTAGTTTTTCACGCTCTAAACACGCAAAATTAGTGTATACCTAATTATCTGAAACAGAGACCATCCTTACTGTCACCAACTAGCCTGGGAGTTTAATGCTTCAGATTCAGATTATAAGGATAGAAAGCTCTTGTTGCCTATGTTAATCCTCGCGATATATATCTCTGCAGAGATCCAGTTTCTCTTTGAAAGCGTTCACCGGTGAAGCTGTTACTACTGAATCAGGTTAGGAGTTCCAGTCGTTGACCACTCTGTGAGAGAATCTAAACTCCACACGTATTTTATTCGACCTCGGTTTTAACACCTTCATGTGGTGACCCCGTAAATGTATCCTAGAAGGGGAGGAAAGTTTAGAAAGGTCAATTCCTAAATCACCCTTGAATACACCGCAAGCCAAAATTAAATCGCCTCTCCTACTTCGGTATGATAATGGGAAGAGATTTAAATGCTGCATCATCTTATCATAAGGAAGGTGTGAGATACCACTAACTAATTCGGTTCCTACCCTCTGTACGCTTTTCAGGGTATGTGCCTCCTTTTTGAAGCATGGACTCGCCGCTTGTATGCAGTACTGTAGATGAGATCTGACATACGTTGCATAGAGTACTTGGAACATACCCTCGTCTAATCGTTTTAAAGCCCTTCGAAGTGCCCATAGCATTCGAAAAGCCTTAGCTGCGGCTCGATTACAGTTCGCTTTTGTTTTTAGGCCATGACTTACAATAATTCTTAAGTCATTTTGTCCCCTAACATCTGGCAGTTCTGTGTCCCCCATGGAGTACGACGTAAGACTTCTAACCTAGGTACATTACCGCGCTTTTCTTGGAACTAATTTCCAGACTCCAAAGGTTAGCCCATTCGGCTTATTTGTCTAGATCGTTTTGTAGTACCAACCTATCATCGTTACTACTTAAGGTTTTCCATATCTTAATATCGTCCGCAAACAGCAAGGAAGATGAGGTAAGATAATGCTTAAGCTATCCGTGTTCATATGATTGTAAATATCGCATAGTTTAAACACGCTCTTTGCTATGTATCCGAACAACTGAGTAGCCCACCGGATATGTGGCAGCCGGACAAAACTTTATCTAATATCTTTCTGTTAAGTCTTTAAAAACAAGTTAGCTTCTCGGCGTTTGCCTCTCATAACTACGGGAGATTTCAGTAAAGGGGAATTTCCGCCTAATGGCATAAGTGCAGGCGTCAGTTTTGTTTTGAGATGGGTGCATGATCTCCCTGGGAAATTTTCGTGACTGATATACTCAGCTTTCATTCTACTAGGCATTCTTAAGTATAGTCAAAATCACACTCCAGCACAAAATATGAAGAGAATAGGTGCAAAATTGAGATATCAACTTGGCACCTAAGAATATTGTAGCAGTATTCTTGTGCCACATCTGGGCTACCAAGATACCCCCAGCATTTGGACAAATTCGGCGCAATAGACCTATGAGACCATAAGAAACTGGGAAGACAATGGCAGCAAAAAAGCTGTTGGCGAAATATTAGACCAAACTGTACACTAGCGAATATATCAAAGGGCTGAGAAATTTTCAGAACTATTTCTTTTCAGAGGTTGAATATAACGAATAAAAAATCCAGACATCCAGCATGAACAGGAATTAAAATTGGAAGGTAAACAAGGAAGTTCTAAACACAACTTAATGCTAACTTTACTGAGAAGACAGACTGAGGATGATGGACATGGCAAAGACAAATGTTGAGAGCACTTTTAAATTTTATAGCGTGGTGTCTTGTTAGCGATGACGTAATACCAATACTAAGCCGCAGGTATACGCAGCCAGGCAAGATACTGATCACCAATCACGTTAACTCTTCTGTAGCCCACAAAAATGAAAATGAGGGACAGGCTGGTCTACGAGGATGAGGGCAGCCCAATTTCGCCATATAAAAATGTATGTATATATATTTATTCCTGTTTATGCAGGAACATACCAATTGTACAGGCATGGATAAGTTATTATTTAAATTACAGTTTGTTTGTCAGTCAGAACAGTCTGCAAAATAGTCTGTCTGTGTAACACATAAAGAGATATAGAAATATTGTCTTCGCATTAACAAAAAACCCAGACTTCAGATGAATGTGATACAAATATCTGGGTAAAATAAAGCTTGAAGTCAATTCTCCTATAAAACTTTGTTGTGAACAGCATCCGTGATATGAAGTTTATTGATTTATTATTTTGAGTCAGTAATGTATTTATTCCATTTTTGTCAGCAGTCTTATCGTAGTTTTATAATGGGAAAGAAATTTGATCTTTGATACGAAAATTAGATAAGGTAATGTTAGATTGTTTTACTGCATCAAATGGGGTCAATTCTAGAACTCTCCATTTGCGCCATTTGCGTCAGCATGGCAGACTGTACATGTAAGTTGAGTAATACATTGAAAACTGTTTGAAAACCAGTTGTTTCTTTATATCAGATCAAGAATAATCCTTGTACAGAATGTTAGCCTGCGTTTTCAAGTGGTTGCATCGGATCGTTCATGGAATTTGAGTTTGAATTTACTTAAATGGTCATTTCAGTTTAGATGTTGGGTTGTTCGACCTCGACCAGGAGGTATATAGAAGTGCAGGCTCAGGATATAATAACAGAAAGAGAAAGTATGTAAACATGAACAGGACGTTAATATTTTATGTACAGATTTTGATCGTCTCTTAAGACTAACAGATATCCATAAGGTGTGGATTGCAGATTAACCAGTCATATTATGCTACATTTTCCCCCACTGTCTAGCAGTTTAGTTGGGCCAAAGTGGCGCATACCCGTCTAAGACGGTTTCAGCTAGTTTGGGTCACTCATTTTCCTGTAAAGTGGAATTACTCCTTCCTTGAATCTGCTTGAAAAGATTCTGGTCTTTTCCTTTGTCAGGCTGACATTCGAGTAGGAATAGGTGCATTCTTAACTGTACCTTCTGTTTCTGGGAGGCGAATATTAGAAATATCCACCAAAGCGCACCATGCCAGCAGAATAGACATGAGCACTATGACATCGTTTGTCTGGTGGCGGCTGGGAGTAGTGTTCTGCCTTCTGTAGACTGTTGACTGCCCGGGTTAACTTAATACAGCCAAGTACTTACTGAGAGGAAGAAGCATGGTCAATGTTGCATGAGAGGTGCTTAATACACACACTCCTACCTAATGGCTCTCCACATGAGGCTAGGCTAGTACTGAAAGGCCAGTGAGTTACAATACTTGAAAATTTCAGCCCCTTTTACCCAGTGAACTCAAGTAAAAATAACGTTCTTGGTTTTTCTGGTGCATCTGCCCTACTTTATCTGCATCTGGACAGCACCACTGACTGACTCTTCAACCTAGCCCCCACCAACAGGTTGACAGAATCCTCTCAACACTACCTCAACTAATGATGCTAGAATAAAACACTTCCAGTTGTTCAAGGGTTATTTAATAATAATAATTGATATTTGTGCGTCGGTGGCACAGTGGTTAGGACTCTCGCCGACCATGCACATGGTCCGGGGTTCGATCCCCTGCCGGCGCACACCCGATATCTATGGTCAGCCTGAATTTGGGCTACCGATATCCATGCTGAAAATTCCACACTTGTACTGAAAATACGGTGTGGAATCAAGCTGTAAATAAAAATAAAAATAAATAAATAAAATAAAATTTGGTATAAACGGGTAAGTTTACCAGAAATGCATGCCATTCTTACAGGCACAACTAGCTATGTTGTAAATTACAATCCTGAAGTATCCTAAATTAATACTTTCTCAAAAGTTTAAATTGATCAATTATTGTACAAGTAATCAGAAAAGGTTCTTATAAATGTCAAATTGCAAACTGTTTTCTAAGGGTACCATCAAAGTTGAGCGACAACCCAAACTTGATTTCGTTTCCTGCTGATAGCTATGGTCAACCAGTGGACAGCCTATATTTGGGTAGGTGCCATACCCACACTTAATTAATAGCTATTTCAGGGAGAGAAGAAAGTCCTGGGAAACTACAAAATGGCACAAAATACAGTTATGGATAATACATCATTGAAATTGCATTCGCAAGTTATATACAAGAAGGAGGTGGAGACTTCTTGGAATGATAGTATGAACTTAATAATAATAATAATTTTATTTCTGGAACAGAAACCAGCCATTTATACAGGCGTGAACAAATGTACACTAATTAGAACTTATAGAAGATATATGATTTGTTAATCTAGAAATAGATTGAATACTGGTAAATTTGAGAGAAATATTTAAAAAGAAATGTACAAATAAGGCAATGGGTAATTTTCGAGATATGCTTTCAACTGAATAATTCATGAGATATAGCATCAAATCAAAACTGTAATTGAAAAAAATACGGTATGTCAATTTCACGCGGGAATTATAAACGATTACGTTAATTGTGGAAGGTAAGTAGCATTTTTGTACAGGCACTGGCGTGAAATATAAGAGATGCGGAATGAACAGTAATTGTAAGTAAATGATTCATAGAGTGTTTGAAAGTTCATAAAACTTCAAATTCACCGGTGAGTACACCATAATTGTGATATTTCCAGTTGTAAATGAGACCAACTTTGAACTTGTCAGCACATTTCATGATAGAGGTGCTTCCGTTATTCACCAGGTGGGCTAGCAATATTCCGAATTAGTTGAGGATAGCGGCACTGTTTCATTGCCTTCGTTTAAGGCAGTACCTTTGGGGTGAGGATATAGGCTATGACGTGTTAATTTTTCCGCGCCTCAGGTTTTCTCGTCTTTCATTGGCCGGAACAGTGGTGGCTAATTTGATATTTAATTTGCCCTTGTTAGGTGATGTCGTTGCAGGTTTGTGTGCTTGAGGTATGCGTTGTTTACAAGCATATTTGATGAAAATAAATGTAAAATTTGAGTAT